CCATCTATTTACCTCCCCTTCTCTTCTCCTTTTGATAAGTTTATCTAAACAAAAAGAAAGAGGGGACGTCCCCTCCCTCACACATCTCCTTGTCTTTCAACTCTTTCAATCTAAATAAAGTGCTAATGGATTCAAATTATGTGCAAAAATTTGGCATTAGCAGATGTAATTATTGTCACACTTCAATAATTAATATCATATTTTTTTAATTTAATTAATTATTATAATTATAATTTTAATAGAAATAAAAGTACAAACTAAATCTAAAATAAATTAAAAATATAATAATTAATTAATATAAAAATATAAATTTAGTAATTAAAAATATCGCAATAACAGCGGCGGCACTAGCTTAGCAGCTCCCTCCGGTAGTTTCCACCCCATGAGTCATGACAGCAGCATAAGGAAGGCTCAAACAACCATAAAAATGATAAGACAGGGAAAAGCCGCCACTCAAAGAGCAACGCATCATAAGGAGGAGAGTTTTTTTTTAGAAGAAAAAATATAATGTTAGATTAATATCTGTTAAAGTTAAATCTAAAATTTAATAAAAATCATAACTGTTTGTTCGAGTATAAATTTTAAAGGAAGTGATTTCAAAGCTATTGTTTATGAGTTCATGCAAAATGGAAGTTTAGAAAAGTGCATGGTTGCATGCGCATGAAAATCAAGTAGGAGTGAGAGAATTCAGCTTCATTCAGAGACTGAATATAGCCATTGATGTTGCATTTGCACTTGAATATCTCCACTACTATTGCCAACCGGCTATAGTTCATGGAGATCTTAAGCCAAGCAATGTTCTTCTTGATCATGACATGGTTGCACATGTGGGTGACTTTGGGCTGTCAAGAATATTCCGAAACGAGAGCAATCATAGCAATGCTTCCAGAGAACAAAACAGCTCCATTAGAATAAAATGAACAATTGGTTATATTCCCCCAGGTAAATGTTTATTAGTTGTATTAATAAATTTTTCACTGTTAATTCTCTACCATATTGGATTTACCCTCATGTGGTCATGTGTACCTATTAACCCAATGAACAAACAAAATGCAGAATATGGCATGGTTAGCAAGGCATCTATGGAAGGAGATGTGTATAGTTTCGGAATTATGTTGTTGGAGATGATTACAGGAAAGCAACCAACTGATCCTATGTTCAGCGATGGTTTCAACATTCACCAATTCACCAAAACTGCATTGCCAGAGAAAGTGATGGAAATTCTTGAACCCTCGTTATTACAAGAAATACATGTGACAGATAATAGAGGTATTGAACATTCCAGGGCAAGGAACAACATGGGAAGAAGAACTGGTGTTTTGGAAAGCTTGTCGGAAGTTGCAAGAGTGGGAGTCTTCTGCTCAATGGAGTCTCCAAATGAGAGAATAGAGATGAAACAAGTTGTTGCGGAACTATCTGCCATTAAGCACAGGTTTCTTGGTGCCAGGAATTGATTCAACGTTGACAAGGCCCTCGTTGTTTGTCTTCTTTCTTCTTCATTTTTTCTTTTTTCATTTTTTAATTGAAATAAACTGTAGCCCATTTCGTGATAGGGCTAGGGCCCTTTTCACTCTCTCTTTATATCATTGCTAGCTTTATGGGCTTTTCTTATTAGTATATCAGAAACCTCATATTCTTCTTTTATCTAAAAATCATTATTAAGGCAAATAAAATAATTATAAAATAATTATTATACTAAGTAAGGCCCGTAAAGTCTTTGATTAAATAAGTGGCAAGAATTTATCATAAAAAAAGAAAAAAATTATTGGCAAGAAAAGCATTTCTTTCACTTCCATAATTAAAATTTAAACCCTCATTCTCCCTCTTTATCTCTTTTCCTCATAAGAGGTTTAATAAGTTAGTTTGTCCTATAAAATAATAATAATATTATTGTTATTATTATACTAGTGACTACACCCTGTTATCCAACATTTTAATTTTGTTAGACTGCAAATTTTACTGCAAATGTATATCATATAAAGTGAAAATAAAATTTTTTTAAAAAGAAAATAAATTTTCATTGGTGAATAAGTAGAGAAATGTACGTGTTAGAGACCAAAGTAGATGGT